GACCTGAGCCGAAGGCAGACGCTTAACGACTGAGCCACCCAGGCGCCCCTCTCCAGCTCATCGTTACGCCCTAGGCGGACACTCAGCAGGTTTGGGGAAACCTTAGCTAAAAGCTGCAAGTTTCACCCACGCTGCGCAGAGAAGCTGAGATTCGGGGATGCTGGGGAAACAGAAGTACTCCACACCTATGGCAGAGCGGGCTGGCCGGAAGAGTTTGATTTCCACCGCAGGGAGGTGGCTAGCTTTCTACAAAGCTGCCTATCTCCAGAACCAGCCAATCCTAAAGCCCGAGATTAAAAGCCAGAGGAGGCGGAGCCGAAGCCTTGATTGGCACCGGGTCTCCTGGGGAACCCGCGGAGGCCGGGCAGCGCGGACTCTGAAGAGGCTTCAAGTTGGGTGACCTAGCAGTGGCGGCCATCTTTATTTCTGGCAGATCAGCTGACGGGCACAATCTGACCCAGCACGTAGGCGCTATCCCGTTTCCCTAGGGAGCCCATGAGCTCCTCCCCTCCCGTGCACCAGTCTTCGCGGGAGGGGCGGGGCCTCTCCGCGAGGGGTGGGGCCGGAGCCAGAAGCCAGATTGAAAGCGGTGTGGCTGTTTGGCGGGAAGTTGGCTTAGTTCCCCGGTCCCCGCCTTGTTTCTCCCCGGAGGCTTCACAATCTTCCCTCCACGATCTCGGCATAGGGCATAGTACCCCTTCGCACGGAGGACGCGATGGCTCCTAGGAAACGCCCAGAAACCCAGAAGACCCTCGAGGTGGCAGTACGCCCCAAGAGCAAGAGGAGCAGAAGCCCCCGGGAGCTGGAGCCCGAGGCCAAGAAGCTCTGTGTGAAGGGCCCCGGTACTGCCTGCGCCTGCTGCTTTAATAATTCCGCCTTTTGGGGTTCTCACGCAGGAGGCTGAGTGGGGGATGGGTGCTACTGGTTTCTCGAGGCTGCCCCAAGTTTCGGATGCCTCGGGCTGTGCGTTTTTCTGCAGGTCCTTTGACATCACAGAGCTTGGGCTTAACCCCCCTCAGGTGACGGGAAGAGGCAGACGAGCTCCATTACATAAGACAACGGACCTTCCAATTCCTTGTTTGTACCAGGATTTTTACACACGGAGGACTGCTTAAAATAATCCTACCTTGCCTGGTGGTGTGTGTGCTGAATTTCGATAGTCGTGGTTGCTAGCTGTGTGTCCTTGGTTTCCGCTGTAAGAACCCTCAATTTCCTTCCTTAGAAAACTCACTCTCTCAGGTTTATTGGGGCTTGAACCTGGGGCGATAAGGAGTGTGGGGGAACACAAAAGACTGGAGCAGGGCGTTGTTGATGAAGTGCTTTTTGTCCATAAGAAGAAGGGATGGGTTATCAAGAGGCCAGATTCATAGAGACCAGGTCCTCAGATACATCTGTATTCCTATTCTAAGTGGATCTACCTCTCCAAAAGCAGCTTAATTTAGAGCCGTGCCAGACCCTCTGGATCCTGCTGGTTTCCAAAAGAGCAGATTGGACTTGGGGCCAACAACTGGTCACCTCTACATTATTTTAATACAGGATTTAAAGATAGGTCTTTCCCCAGTCACTTCTGTGCTATCCTAAAATCCTTTTATTGTGCATCGTATGTGATTTTAAAATTGCCACCCAACCCTAGTATGAGTTTTCCAACCCACTGGGAAGAGTTCTGCGTAAACTTTATTCCTCTGTGTCTCTTTGGCTCCCTGCTCAGAAACCCTGCAAGGGTCTGGTTTCATATGATTTCATATTTAGTTTCACCTCAGAATTACTATTTTGGGGAGTGTTTGGGGTAAGGGGCTGAATCCCTTCTCACTCTTTATTTCTTGTGCTGGGTGAGAGTGAGCAGACCATGGAAAGGCCTTAGGAGGTGATGGGAGAGACTGGCTCTGCGGCGTGAAAAAACAAGGCTTTCTTTCTGAGATTTCAGCAGGAAACTCTTCCGTGCGTGAGAAGAGAGAGGAAAACATGTGTCTGTTCTGCTTGGCAGGTTCTAGCAGAAGATTTGACTCAGGCTGCCTTTGGGCGGGCTTGGCTAGCCTGCAGGTCCCGCCATCATGCAGCATCGTCAGGGCCCTCCACCGCCATAAGCTGGGCAAGGCTGTCCGGCCATCACTACAGCAGGTGAGGCGTTTCCTGGCTGAAGTGCTCAAGGGGTTGCCCTGCACCTTTTCACTACTGGGATGTTCTCAAGTTAGATGCTGGGTTGGTTCAGTGGGTTGTCAGTGGTCAGATCACCTCTACCTTGGGCACTGACCTACTGGGCATTCAGCCAGGTGGAAGTCTTATGCTGTAAAGGTCTCATCTGGAATGCACTCTGCCCTCTTGCTTTCCAGGATGAGTCCATGCACACTGCAAATATTTTCAAGCACAGAGCCAGGCAGTTCGTTTTCCTTCGGTGGGAGGACTTGGCCCTAGAGCTCGTCTATGGAGGAGGCAGAGATTGGCAATTTACCCAGGACTTTGGGTTTTAATGCAACTTAATTCTTTTTTTTTCTCTGTGTCAGGGTCTCCAGCAGGCCTTTCTGCACTCTCTGGCTTCTTACCGGATATTCCAAAAGGCTGCCCCCTTTGACAGGAGGGCCACATCCTTGGCATGGCACCCAACTCACCCCAGCACCCTGGCTGTGGGTTCCAAAGGGGGAGATATCATGCTCTGGAACTTTGGCATAAAGGACAAACCCACCTTCATTAAAGGGGTGAGCAGTTCCCTGTGCCAGTCAATAGTGCTGAAGAAGTGTTTGTTGAAGGAATGAAAAGTTATCCAGGAACGAGGAGATGATTGGGATCAGAAGGAACTGGGTATTTTCAAACAAGTCAGTGGTAATGCTACTCAAATCTTCCTTGAGTGCCAGCCCTTAAAACATGAGAAGGTATAAAATATTGATCACCCTCTTGTAAGTTATCACAAAGGACAGAATCTGAGCCCCTTCTTAACTCTTGGCCTCGTCTTCTCCTACTGTCTTTCCTCGGTTCCTAGGCTTTAGCCACACTAGCTATTTCTATTCCTAAAACGGGGTCTTTGCACTTGCTGTTCTCTTTGACTGGGGTACTCTTTCCCATGGTTTTCTCATGGCTGACTCCCTCTTACCATTCAGGTCTTGGCTTAATATACTTCTTCAAACAGCTTTCACTGACCACTCTGTCTAAAGTAGCCTCTACTTCACTCATTCACTCCCTCTCTTCTTACCCTGCTTCCCCCCCCGCCTCCCCCAACAAGGTTTATCAGTACCTGAAATGTTTTACTTATTTGTATGTCTCTGCCCATACAAATGTCTTTGGAAAGTAAGCTCCATGATAAGAGGGACCTTGTCTTTCTGGTTCACCACCATATCCCCAGTGCCTAGAACAATGTTTGGCCTAGAGTAGCTGCTTTATGTTTGTTGAACGAATGAGGGCCTTGAAGTGTAACTGGGTAGATGGGATGTATACATACAAGATAATTGGCAGTACCGATGGTAAATGCTACAGAACTTGAGAGAAGGAAGAACCTCCTGTGAGTTAGAGTCAACAGAGAAGGCTCATGGGTGAGTGGGGAATGAGGAAGAACAATAATTAGGTAAATGGAGAGAAAAAGGAAAGGCAGAGTATGTTCAGGGCAAAGATTGGCATAGTGTTTTTTAGGGATGGTTAGTATTTATCATTAATTGCTGAGGGGTGAAGGTGCTGGCCTCTCCACCAAAGAGAAGACCCTTAGTTTGCCCAGTGGGGGGCTGACAGTGGAGGGCTGTACTGTAATAAGTGACGCTCTGGGTTTAGAACAGAAGCCACAAACTCACATGCTTAAGGAAGCCAAACAGGAAAAAGAATGATAGGGGATGGGGTCAGTGGTAAACTGGAGATGGCTGACATGTAGGAATCTAGGTCCCATGATGGTATCAGATCTGATATGTTCAAATGAAGCCTGAAGCCTAAGTTTTTTTACATGAAATGTTCTGATTTTTAAAGATGTTGATGAAATACACCTAAAATGTACCCTCTTAATGATTTTTAAGTGTGCAGTTCAGCGGCCTTAAGTACATTGGAGTTCTTGTGTAGCCAGTCTCCAGAATTCCATCTTGCAAAAGTAAAACTCTGCACCCACTAAACACTAATTCCCCATTCTTCCATCTCCCTATCCTTGGCGACCACCATTTTACTTTCTGTTTTGATGATTTTGACACTCTCATGAGTATCTTGCATAAGTGGAATCACAATATTTATCCTTTGGCTTATTTCACTTTGCATAACATCCTCTAGGTTCATCCGTGTTGTAGCAGGTGTCAGAATTTCCTTTTTAAGGCTGAATAATACTCCACTTGATGCATTTACCACATTTTGCTTCTCCATTCATCTGCTGATGAACACTTGGGTTGCTTCCACCTTTTGGCTATTGTGAACAATGCTGCTGTGGATGTTGGTATGCAAATTATCTCTTCAAATCCCCGCTTTCAGTTCTTTGGGGCATATACCCAGAAATGGAACAGAAGAGATAGATGAGGCCAAGGGCGAACCCAGGATGGGTTTTCTTAAGTGTTTCCTCAAAGCAGCCCATCATAAAAGGCCAGGTTAGACAGGCTTGGGATGAGATGGGTGTTCAAGAAAACAGGTGCTTTGAAGCCAGAAGAAGGGCAGCCAGAGGAATGCTGTGGACAGAGCTCAGCTTCCTGCCCAGCTGGTGAGACAGGTGACCACCAGAAGGGGCAGTTTTAAATTGAAGTCAAAACCCAGAGCTCAGACAGGAAGAGATTTCTTTTTTTGGTTTTTTGGGTTTTTTCCCCCCTCGGAATCTAGGACAGGGGAATAGAGAAATTTAAGAAGTAGCCTAAGGGTGTCCTAGGGGAAGAGCCTCCTGACCAAAAGGGAAATGACATCTGCTTTAAACTTGTGCCAGGCTGAGGCTGCTTTGGTTTATACCACTCTTCAGTATAATGTGCCTTTAAGTGACATTTCTTCACACCGTCTCGGAGATTGGTCTGAGCATCTGCACGTTGAGACTAGCAAGAGGCTAGATTGGAGCAGAAGAAGGGTATAGTGGTCTGGAGAGCTCTCTGTTTTTACTTCCAGATACTGACAGAAAGTTGATTTGAGAACAGGGACTGAAGGCGCAACAATGCCTCATTTTGCTACTACATTTTTTTTTTAATTTAAAAAAATTTTTTTGGGTGCCTGGGTGGCTCAGTTGGTTAAGCGACTGCCTTCATCTAGGTCATGATCCTGG